GTATTTTATTTAGTTATAATGTAAATACAATATAAATTAAACCAGGATTTAGAATAATTATGATTTTGAACCAAGATTTAGTATAATTATCATTTTGATTCGTATGGTAATGTGTGACTGGGCCTAGTGTCACTTTATGTTGAACAAATTGGGCCCCGAGGTCAAAAAGTTTAAGAACCCCTGGTATAGAGAACAGAACAAAAATCAAAACTACAACTATGGAAGACAGCTACAAGGCTGGTCAAAAAGCATCCTTGCTGTTGCCAAGGAAACATTACCTCGCCAGCTCCTTCACTCAACATTTCAGAGATGAAAGAACGAAACAAGGACGAGAGTTTGGCAAAGAAGCCATCATGCTGAGGGTAATGGAGTGGAGAAAAGCAAAGAGGGGGGAAACAAAATTAGCAGAGAGGATAACACAAAGACAGATGGAGTGGTAATGAGTACTGAGGAAAAAAAATATTTAGACAAAGTGTTAATGGTAACATAGAATGAAAAGATCATTTTGAATTACACTAAACAACCTTCGAAACGCACAGCTGCCGACATCATGCTGACCTTGTTGCCGGTGAATCTCCTCTCCAGCAGCAGCCTGAAACGGTTGGCAGTCTTCTTGTTGTCTTTCAGACCCTGACCCAGCCCGCGATTATCATCCTGCATCAGCCGCCGGTCCATAATCACTTCGAGCTGGCCTGAGGGAGGGAGGAGCAGGGACAACAGCTGTGAAGTAAAACCCACGTATTGATCTTTCAGACATCAGTGGGAAGAGAGAGTTTAGCTCAGTGCARGGCGTGACGACAGGGTCTGTTTCACAGTTTGAGAACCTCGAGGGGAAATTTTAAAAAAAAAGGAAAATAACCTTTCTAAAACCAGTCAAAAAATTTTAAAAAGTAGTAATCACAAACCACTTTCCAGGCTGGAGACACCCAAAGACTGAGCAGTGTGCAGCGTGAGGCGGTGATGGCTGTCCTGGATGTACGCCTGGCTGGGCATCGGATAAAAGTTGCCCTGCAAGGGAAGCTTTTGGTAGTATCTACGAGGCTGAATCTACCAGASCAGAAGACAAAAAAATAAATAAATAACATTTTAAAACTTAGGTCAATCCTGATCTTACATGAAGCACAAAAAGTTCTCAGGACAAAAATGTGGCCGACCTGGAAGCCGTTCAGGTCGGTGTAGAAGACATCTCCGTTCTGAATGCTGGTGACCAGTCGCATGGCCAGCTCCTTATTGGTCTGATCTCTGATGTCCACCGTTGTAGTCATGTCTACAGACAAACCATCCACGCCTAGAGATACAGCATAAAAAAAGAATCACTCAGTTAACTGAAGGAAAGAAATATTAAAGGAATATTTTCTTCAACATATTGCCTCTTGTCATATTTTACCATCTGGTGTCTATAAAGAGAAAACGTGAGCCAATTCTATTGTGCAGCTTTGTGTGTTTATTACCCGGCACATTGTGTATGCGGACGGTCTGCTCAAAGTGCTGGTATTGTGCCACCACTTCAGAGAAAAGAGGCCCTTCAACAACACGCACCACAGGTGGTTCTTTCTGGTTGTACGGCTACAAACAGGAAGAGACAGAGCAGGCATGAAAACAAGATGTGCTAAAAAAAAGGGTAACAACTGGCAGCATAATACAGTGCAGAAGCTGAGTCTTTAGACTCTGTTCTTTAAACCTTGAGATGACACAGCAGCCAGAATTTCTGCCCTGAGCTTCCCAGCAGGATAAAATGAGAGGATACTCATGGGAGGCTTCATCAAAGCTCCTTAGGAGCAAAMGCAACATGTGCGACACCAACCAAGAAGATACCTTTGGTTTTCCATCAGGCAGGAAGAGGTAAGCGCCGCTTTTGTCTTTTGAAGGACGCGTGCCATAGACCATGAACTGCATTTGAACCTTCACTTCCTGAGGATCATCCTTCCGCTTGATGCTCTGCAGATCAAAAAGCAACACAAAGAGAGAAAGCAAGAAGAAGAGGAAGATGAAAGATTGATTCTGTAGCAACAACACGAGCACTGTTTTCTTTGATCAGGCTGCTGCAAAGCATTTGGAGCTCAGAAAGATCGAAGTTAGGGCAGATTAGTAAATCCTTGATATAGATTTGAGGTCAAAAGAACCAAAAATAAATAAATAAATACCCACCTCCAGTAGCCCAGTGATTCCAGAGAAGCCCAGGGTTAGAGCTTGGCTGCTAATGTAGAAGGTCTGCGAGTCCGTCAGCTGAGAGCGAACAGGAAGTGGATCGACAGCCCGAGCGGTGACACTCCGACTAGACAGCCTGAGCACCGTGTCTGACCGAAACGTCATGGGAGAGTCCGGCGAGTCGTACAGGTGGAAAATAGCCAGACTGAGAGGTGGCAAACGAACCATGAACGTCGCCTATAAAACGCAAAGAAAAAGAAAAATCAGTAACGACTGCAAACAGTGACAACAAAAAAGCTCTCATTAAAAAAAAGCTGGCTTCATTTCCCTTTTTAAATTAGAACGTTAAGTGTTGATCAAAAAGGCACTGATTAAGATTTAAAAGCTTTCGCAAATTACCAACAGTGCAGGAGTTAACATGTGAACAAAGACRGTGTTAATTAGTCTGTGTTTTGTGTCACACTTTAATTGAAAACTTTCAGTGAGTGCAGTTTTTTTATTTAGAAGATATAAATCAGAAATAACTGCAAAAGCACATAGAAGCAAAGGCTTCCACGTGCAGATTTGATACCAGATTTTAACCTTTTTATTTTCCTTTTAACGAATTGAAAACCATTAGTTGTCCTGAGTGGGGACATAGTATATGCAAAAGTAGAAAAAAATATAATGGGRAAATTAATTAAATAAATATTATTTCACTTAGAAAATATTAGTCCACTAAGTGTTTCAGTACTATTTTCATCAACATGTTTGTCTTTACAAGTATTGATGCAACATGATACTGATTTGTGAGCTGAACAACTGCAGAAACAAACATTCTGTGCTGCTCTGGAGAAACCAGTAGCTTAGTAAACATAGTTATCTTACCTCAAATACCTCAGCACTCATCTGAGTCCCAGAGCTCCACTGAGCACTCAGCTGCACAGGGAGAGTCTGTCCATCCTCAGTAAGCACCCGCACCCTGATTGTATTGACCAACACGGTCACTGTGCACAGGCGCTCGTGCTCAATGGGGTTGAACAGAACCAGGTACCTGGCAGAGAAAAAGAAAGAAATCATAAYCACAGGATGGTGGAAGAGTGGCTGAGGGAGGAATTGGGACACGAGAGAGAACAAAGAGAACACCTCGGTCCTGCTGGGTCCAGCTCGATTAAGGTGCGCTGAGGCTGAGAGTCTTGAGTCGCACGTCTGTCATCCTATAGATGTTAAATATAATGGAGAACATATAGTGAATATAGGCAGTAAGATATGTAGGAATGCTTTTTTTTTTATTCTACTAGTGACACCAAAGTGTCAGTCTACACTGTGTCTCACCGTCTCCAGGAAAGGCTCTGTCTGGTAAAAGCGATAAAACTCTTTGTTCTTCATCACCAGGAAATGAGCTGCATTGATGATAACTCTCTTCAGTCCGATAAGTGCACGTAGTAATCTAAAAGGGTGGGAGGAAAAAAGAAGAAGCTTGCATCAACTGTTCTGGAGGAAAATGTCACCGTTTAGCTTTGACGTGTTGAAAGGCCAGGATAAAACAATCAGACATAATATTACACAGCAGGGGGAGGTGCGATCCAAATTATAATGAGATTTATTCATCTGCCCTCTGAGTCTTACTTGGTCCCATAATCGATGACGACATTCTCCTTGGCTGTGCCAGTAATGGCATCGTGATGCTGGAAGAGGCCAACTGAGCGCCTGGCATCAACCAGCAGGGCATAATCTGAGACAGGGTAGCGTCCTTCCATACCCGCATGGCGAGCATTTGCAACCGCCAGGCTATAGAGGATCTCTGCCCCCCTGAAGGATAGGGACCAAAAAACAAAAACTTAATGCTGAATTATTGCTTCCTGCTCTTTTTAAACATGTTCAGATGATTCTTTGATTTATTATGTTCGTTACCATTGCTTCTTTCTGAATTTCTTTGTTCAAATTAAGTAAATTTTGTGACAGTCTAATATTTTATAACATCCTAGAGGGACGGAATAGGCTCGCTATGAAAGCTTTGCTGGATGCAGGAAGTAGGGCCATTGTGTCTGCATGCAGACATGAGGCCCACAGCACTGTGAAAACCTTTATTTGTATGTAAATAAACATAAAAGAGTACTGTACCYGTTTCCTGCCTGATTCAAGTCCTATGAACACCTTACACATCCACTCACTTTGCTAACTACATGAAAAGTACAGCATAAAATACATGTAATAAACAAGCACTTTAAAATAGGTTTGTTTTTCTAGTATTTTGAAACTAAACAGAAATTCTATTTTTCTTGTTGTGTTTTGGCTGCTCCCTTTTTCCTGTTCAAAAAAATTGATTAAAAATATCCATAAAATTTACAAGACTTTTTTTTATTTGCAGATTTTATATTTAAAAATTGTTTTTATTACACATCAGGCACTCTCCACACTTGTCTTGTTAAACATCTATAATAAATTAATTAATAATTTATTATAACTGCTTAAAATGTGGATTGATTCCTAAAACTGAATGAATTGATTTATTGTTTAACAGTAAGTTATGCCTTTAAGACAAATCAAACATGAAACTTCATAACTTTTGTCACAAAATGATTTGTGACGACATTTTTATTCATTTTGAAGTTATATTCTGTTACTAAAACAGACAGCTACAGTTTGATACAAGGACAAAAATGATGTTAAAACATATTTGATTGTATAATTGCTAAAATTCATTTTGCTGAAAAAAAATGAAAATAAAAATAATCATAATTGTGAACGTAGAATCGATAATCAAATCGAGGCTTAAGTGAATCTTTAATAGTAAATTCGTGTTTTTCTTAAAACAACTCCTCTTAATATAAGTGTAACTACTATAACCTGCCCAACTTAGTTTCTTATCACTGATGTGTCAATATATTTATCCTACCTGAGCTGAGATTCAATTATACGGTCCAGGCTTTTGTAAAAAGGTCGAGAGGTGTAATAACCAGTCCAGTAGTGGTCTTCGCGGTCTGCATAGGCAAAAAAATCTCCGCCGAGCACAGGAAAGTCACCAGGTCTGGATCCTGGAGCCACTCCATAAGCTTTGTATATGGCGTTAAAGTAGTCTGTCAGAGTCCCAAACTGAGCCTGGGAGAACAAAATGACTTAACAGTTAGAGAGAAAAAAATAATAATAAAAAGACTTCCGAACACAAACGTAGCTAAACAGAAGAAATAAATCTTTCATTATTATGCGTGGGCTTTTCATCTTGCTCTTCATCTTTTGCATCAGACGTCAAGCCACGACAGATTCTTTGTTCTGTCAAGCAAGTGAAAATTTGACTGCATAATTCATTCTTTCACTGAGAAACTTCATGCAGAGACGTATGAACAATAAAATGATTTATGACCATAAAAAAGAAAAGAAAAAATACATTTTTGGCAACATGATTTGTGACAACTGTAAAAATCTTTTCTCACCTGAACATGCAGCTCCGGGTGAGAATTCATGTAGTCGAACAGCTTCTGATAATTGATGTACTGCTGATCCCACTCCAGGGCTTTATCGTAGCGAAAGTCATCTCCTAGAGGAATGAGAAGCACCTTGCTGCGGTAAAGTTTTGACTTTTTACGGTACTGATCCAGGAGTAGCTGTGCTCTGCATAAAAAGAAAAGGATGAGAGGAAAGAATAAAACAGAGTTTTTCATACAGCAGGTTGGGAAATCACTACCCCTCCAGAAACAGGAAGGTTTAATTGGCTCTGGAGGTAGTTTTCACAGAAATACAWCCTCTAAAAGCTGCATAATGTGGCTCCCAGTGAATAAGTGCTGGGTGTCTGTGTTCTTTAGTTCAGTTTCACTATTTGGCTGTTGTCACTGGCACAGGTTCAAGCAGAGTTTATTAAGAGACCATTACAAAACAGTGCAACAGCAATGACAAATCTGCTGTGTGTTGCTGAATTTGAGTGGAAACAAAAAACGGACAAAATCTTGTGTAGAGATGATGCCCTAACTTAGAATAACCACTAATACACATGCAACAAATGTCTTTACAAGCTCATTGGGTTGTTGTTGTTTTTTGTTTGTTTGTTTGTTTGTTTGTTTTTGCCTGAGAAGTTTAACATGTTTCCCCTAGAGCAGGAGGGCCACATGAGTGTTATGGTGGCCTTCAAAGGGCCAGTTGTAATGAACTTTGACGTTTCATGTTTAACTTTAACTAAACCGTGTTTTAACATGTCCTCTTTAAACACTGATAAGAACTAAGTGTATGACTAACTAAATCTGAAATACAGAAATATTATTAAAAGTAAAACTAATAATGTTTTACTCGCTGATGAGTCTCTAGTGAGTAGCTAGTATGCATTATGGCAGAGTTAGTTTATGGCGGACGCTGACTTTAAAGCAGCTTATTTTTAGACTGCTCAGTTCCTTAAAGCCAACAGTTCAGGGGCAGGACAATTGTTATTATCTTTCACCTTTTTAATTTATTTTGTTGCATTTAATCATAAATTTGAAGTTTACCATTGATATAAGAAACAYGTTTCATGTTAAAAGAAAAAAAAAGAAAAAAAAGGCACGTGCCCTGGAGTATTGGCCTTGGGAGAGCAGGGGGCTTTTGAACATAGAATAATGACTCACAGAAGAAACATTACTGTTATTTATCAAAAGAGTCCAGTTTTTTTATTATAAAACTTCATGAAAATGAAGTCTGCAATTTAATTTGCATTACTTGAATCTTATATATCTTTCACTTAAATAACTAATACYTCTAATATGTATATATAATATGTCTATTCATAAACTAATTTCCGATATCTGGAATATAAGTGTGGTGAAGCTGATTAAATGCAAAAACAGCCTGCCATACACTATACATATATATATATATACACGTTACATTATATATATTGAAACTTATTGTGGTAGAACATTAGCGAAGAAAGAATTTGTCAAAGTTTACCCCTGTAATTAATACAACCTCTCAGCTTTATGGATTGGGGGCGTGGTTGTTAAGTGGGGCGGTCGGTTCTGTTGGTGTGGGGGGGGGGGGCTCCTTGAACAATAGTAGCAGAAACACTGCAACTAACCTGATGAAACCTTTTAACTGGGATTTATTGTTTAGAAAATAAACGCTCACCTTTCTGCTACATTGGCTTCCACTACAGATTTTGGTGGCACCTTCCAGGGACAGTTGATCCGACCTCCCGGTAACCTTTTAAAGTCAAACTGGCAACAGACCTTGGGATCAGGCCCACAGGTGTGAGGCACATCGTAGCTGTAGAATGGCATCATGTGGCAAAACATGTCTGTGCTCGACCCCGTGTCTGTTAAYGCAATAAAGTAAAAGTCGACAAACGAATGACAATTTTGGAAAAAAAAAAAAAAAGAATCTACTAATGAAATGACAAGGCAGTTAACACAGAAAGCATGTTTTTCTCTTCGTATTTATGAACAGACACAAAGTACTGACAATCTAAAATTTCTGAGYTTTTCAGAGAGCAAGCAGGCAGTGGATCTGCAGCAGCCACTCAGTTCCTACAGAAATTATAATACAGACAAATCTGTTGAGACTATTACAGAGTGTACTTTTTAAAATTCCTCTCCCTTTTTAACTCAGATGACAAGTGGCCTGGGCTCCTCTTTAAATGAGCTTGAAAATGAGCACATGAATCATAAGACGATGCTGGCGCAGGTCCACTCACCCCATGCCTGCCTCCACATAAACTCTAGACTGCGGGTGGAGGAAAAGTGTTTTTTAATTGAATAGTGGATCCTTTGGATGAGCATGCTGGTCAGGTTGGCCCTCTTCAGGAGATAAGGCATGGTGGCGCTGTGACCAAAGGGGTCCACCGCCCACCCGCTCTGAGGAGTTATACCTATGAAAACAAGCAGGAAGCAAGTATTTCAGTTAAATACTCGGATAAAGAAGGAGATGCTTTTTTTTTTCCTTTGGATGCATGATACACTGAAAGCACCACAAATCATTTTATTGCCTGCAGAGCCAGGCGCTACATCTGCATGTGGGATGTTGAGCCTCAATTTTACTATCAAGCACACCGWGGAGTGGAATAATTTAGAATCGGGTGAAGGCAAATGTCCTAAAACATCTCAGAGAGGAGCCACTTAAACATTTATGCATCATTCCTCTGAATATAAGTGCTAGTGCTRGAATAAGGAATCGTTTCTGATGGAGTGTGTACCTAGATTTTGTTCTAGCCACTGATGCCCTTCAATGAGCTGGTCTATCATGGCAAAGTAGTGAGCGTTGGCTTCATCTGTCATCACCCAGCCTCCCGTCACAATCTCAAGCTGTCCTCCAAGGATTAGCCTGTTAAAAAGAACGGATTAAGAGAAGCAAGGTGAGAATAATCCYGCCCTAATGTGAGAGAGTCACACTAACAAGATAGCAGACTTATTTTTAGAGCTTCAACAATCTGCCAGCAGATATCCCCTGCTATGTAGCGCTTATGGTCTAAACTGTCTGCATCAACTAACTCTGACAATTAAAAAGGGAAAATAATTAGCAAGAATGTTCGCTTCACAAAACTGTGACTCACTTGCGCATGGCCTCCTGTTTATGCACGTCTGAAGTCTCCCACCACTTGGCGAAGAACGAAATCTCAGACCAGATGAACTTCCGGCGAGGATCCTCAGCCAGCTTCACAACCATGTTGTTTAAAATGTGTTGCGTCTGGTCTGTGAAGTACTTGTCAAAAGTCTTGACCCAACCTAACAACACAGGAGGACCAAATTAAGCAGTCTGCAGAAGCACTGGTGAAGCATATGGTCTATCGCAAACTGAGTTTTGTCTGAAACCAAACATTTCTACTGTGATTACGTGGCCATCTGATCCAGAGACATGAAGAAAGGGCAGGTGGAGAGCCCGAAAGATGTAAAAAATGCTCCATGAATAAACTCATGTTTTATTCAGAGTTGGTCCACACAGAAAGCAAACTGGTTTAAAGAAGTGACTAAAACGCACTGCCTGCAATTTGCATCCCTGTGCTMTGGTCTTTGCATTCTACACATAAATGTCACATAGTCAACTTTGCTGCAAAAAGACGGCCTGACATTTCCAACCGAAAAGGCAGTCCATAAAGATGGAACAATTAATGCTGCAGAAAACAGCTAAGAAAACTTTGCAGCTCAAAATAAAGCCAATCCCTACTGTTAATGGATACAATTTGCAAGACTTTGCAGCCTGTCAACATATCAATAACTGTCAAGTTAGGAAACACATCACAGGCTGGTAAACAAGTTTAATGGAAATGTCAGTCTAAAATACAATTACAGCCAATTGTTTCTAAAAATAGCCACAGTTTTCCCAATGCCAATATCTTCCTAATTCTATTGTTTGTGACCAAGCTGTCAATCTTGTCAGCTTCATACGTATGATAACAGAAGAAAATAATTGATTTATGCTTCTCTGTAACTACCACTCCACTCAGGTGAGGACTAAAAGTAATTGACTTAACTTCCTTTGTACAAACCAAATCTGTCCTTTAGGTTTTTAAACTAACTTCAATGTTTGCTTTAAGATTTGTCTCAGGAAAAAAAAAAAGTCTCATACGCTTAAAGTCACAGATCTGTTTGATATTCAACAAAGCCTCATAACTCACCTGGATCATTGTGAGAATGAGGGACCACAAATACTTGCAGAGGTTCACTATTCCACTCATCAGGTTCATAAGTGATGTCAAAGCCCTGCTTCCATACACCACCGTCAGGGTTATCAAACTTGAGAAGGGAGTACACATCCAGCATCTAAACATAAAACAATTACTTCAAAAGAAAAGCTTGGAAATAGGCACAAAAGGACAAGTACGGTGTGGCTAAAAGAATATACGGTTCAAACACAACAGGTGACATTAGTTATGCTAACCATCTTGTTTCAATCCTTAATTCTGCTGGGAGAGTTTGCATTCTGGCTTTCAAGTTGATGTTACATTGACATTTCCAACCAACAAACATTATTAACCCACCAGTCACATCCCACAATACTGCTGCTAAAAGTCTATGCAATACCATTTGCAAACTGATTAAAAATGTATAAAAAAACACAATAAGGAGTTTGTTGTTCACACGGCCCCCCAACTCATCAAATAGCAAATTAATGGGATCTAATGGTGTATGCGGTGAAAAAGGATCKTTTTAAGACCCACTCTGTTCTTACAGGACCTAAAGGATCCATTAATAATATTTTGGTACCAGACTTTTARAATCAGGTCTTTAGGATGTGTCTGCCCAAACTGGTCCGATTTTTTTTGTGCTGGCATTAAAAAGGACCTATCCACTAACAATTGGCTGGTCAAGTTTCATCTTTTCAGACCCACAGTTTCTTATTATCTTGTAGAAGTACAACTTGTTTACCTGAACATCAGCTTGAGCTCGTTTTTGCTCCGCAAACTGGCAATCCTGAGGCTGTACGGCGAGGAAAGCGGGTCGACCGTCGAAGGGTAGGACCCAGGAACCATTGGCACTTCTGAAAGGCAGGTGGCCACTYGGAGACACAGCTCCAGTGTCTGTGAGCTCCATCACAGAATCTTTTATGTGGCTAATAATTTGATGGTTTTCCTCCAGGAGCTGCTCCAGCTGCTCTATCCGGTTCTGCAGCACTGAAATTTGGCTCTGAACAGAATTTTAACAAATTTTAAATTGCACCACTATAAATACAACTAAGCAATATTCTTATCAGAAATTACTATTTTATTCAAAGTTTAGAAAATACAGCATTTAACAAATGCATTTAAAGCACAAGGATTTCGATGAAAACAGTCAAATCAGCACAATATGTAAAATGAAGACGTGATTTGATGAGTCTACGTAAATCCAAGATAAAAARTAATAATCTTCAGGTTCATATTACAAGATAAAGTATTTTTCAAAAGTCTATTAAACAGGCTTTTAGTGATGTAGAAATCTTTTTGCCCGTGACTTTAAGGCAGCGGAAAGTGTGTGACACAAGCAGGGAAAGACAGGAACAGAGCAGCTGTACAAACAAGTGCAGAGTGAGAGCTTTTACACAGCACATAAACAACAATTATTCTTACCCTTGGAAAGTTCCCTCCATTCTGTCGCCTTGCAGGGTCATGTTGGACTCGATCCAACATCAGATAGAGCGAGAACACGGCCACACAGAATATGGCCCCTCCACACACCGTCACCTGTTTTCTCAGCTTCATCCTTCTGTAGAGCAATCCTCCTCCTGGGATTTGACGTTTCTCAAAAAATATGACCTTGACTGCACCGGGTTTTTGTTTTCAGCACAGTGGGGGAAGAAGATCCTGAAAAGCTGGATCAAAATCCTTCAGGTGTAAAAATGAACGATAGAAACCAAACTATGCCAGTAWGCAAGGTTTAGTCCCACTCCTGTGATGCCTGCAGCCTCCACTAATCATACTGGAGACCACAATGATAGAGGCTACAGCAGTGGTAGCAGCGGATAAGAGTACTAAAGCTGCAATAGCTGGCAAGCAGTCTGTCGGCTCAGGCCCAACCACAGCCACCGGTAGTCTCCTTCAAAGTGGCCCTTGTGCTCAACCATCCAAATCAATGAGATTGCAGAAAAAGGGGGGAAAAAAGCCCAACACAGAAGAAGATCAGACAGGGAAACTAGTGTCCCTGCAGCATGATTGTTGATGCTGTCGCAGGCCTGCTCTTCTGGTCCAGTCCCCACTTCCACAGCAAAGTTAATCCCCCAGTAGTGCCAAAGTTGATGTCCTTTTTCACAAATGGTCTCGTGTGTCACAACAGTATGACCCACAGTTTGCTTACTGAGCACGTGCAAAGTAACAGGCTGAGGGGAAAAAAAAGTCTGGCTAAGAGCAGCAACAGCAGATTTTTTAATCAAGCCTCAGCACTGCCACAGAGCAGCTTCAGGAATTAAAATGAGGCAAATACTATCRTTCTCTCAGCGGCATAATGACTGCATATCTACCGTGGCAGCATGGGCAGCGCCTGTCCTTGATCACAAGCGCCAAATCGACATCACTTCAGGCAGTCCTCTTCAGCTACTGGGAACAATTTAAGACAAATGTAGCATTCATAAACACGTATTTTTGGCCTACTATTTCAAAAGAATGACAAAAAAGCACAAGTCTCTGTGGAAAACGTGAGCTCATTTTACTTTATCAAGTAAAGCCAACACAAGGAGAAAAACAGCTAACAGAAATACCCTGTGTTACCTTTGATAGGCGTTCATATTTTCCTCTGAGAATCTAGTATGATAATCCTCTAGCTTCCCAGGCTGGGAGCATCCCAGCATTTACCACAAGGAGTTGGGATAATAAACTTGGCACGGACATTTGTTAAGATTGGCTAGGGGAAAGCAGCCTTAAAGCCACCCAGAAATATAATTTCTTAAGACCATCTGGACCAGAATAAAGTCCAATAAGAAAAATGTTTATGCTGATGTGCGTGGTCGAGAAACAAAACACTTTTTTCCATCAGGTAAAGAAATGCTAATGTACAGCTGATCCCAAGATYCTTACAAATACTACTAATGGATTGATACCATACCAAAAGGTAAAACTGTTACATAGCTGAATGGGCGAACTACCATGACACAAAATGGGATTCCTCGGGTTACTGACTGATAGGTGGCACCTCTGTAAACGTTTTACAGCAACTTTAGACTAATATAACTAGACTGCGTTAAACTCGAGTCCACTTACATCAAAAGCCTTCTGTCTAAGCTAAAACGCACTGGTTAAACAACCTAGTTCCAGAACTTATTTTGTCAGATTTACATCGTCTCTCAAACTTAATTACCTCACTCAAACACTAACACGGAAGATGTAGCGAAATGTTGAGCTAATAAGCTAACGCTAGCACCTATACTGCAATTAATCCAACTAGTCCCGTCTCAAAAACCACAAGGTTAGTTTGAATATTTAAAAAAATCGTAATATTCCTGAAACCCGGTTCCTATCTGCTCCTCCGCAAACGTGTCAAACGTYACAGACGACTTGACAATATTAAGACAATACGTGGCTGATACTACTCCCTGGCTAACTATGTACTTTCTAATAAAACCTTGATACATAAAATAATGTACGACGTTGCTACTTTATGAAGAAAATATGATAAAAAAAATCAGCTTACCCATTAAATACAGATGATATTCCAGCCGGAGGACTGTAGAGCACAGCAGTGAAGCTCTTTTAGCAGCAGGCTGACAGATTACCGGAATAGCATAGTGAGCTTAGCATTTAGCACCGCTGAGCTGCTGCAAAGCCTTCTGGGAAAAAAAATAATAATAGGTCCGTGTGTGCGTGCGCGCGCATCTCCGGTTTAACTGGGAAATTTTAAATTAAATTATTTTGGTAATACTTAAGTATAAAAGATTATAACTTCATTCTAGTGTGTTTTTATAAAGGTTCCGTCAGATTGCCTAATGCTGAATTCAAATTACATATTTGTTTTTTTTTTACATTAAATTTTTGCATTGCAAAAAAGGTACCCTGTTTGTTTACTGCTAGGTTACTTCAAAAACTGATACTAAAAATATTGCATCACATTCTAAGGGTAAAACTTTTTGATCTCCACAAATAATAATTTCTGTTCTTGCACATCTAAAACTGTATTTTTAGTAAAATATAACACAGGCTATAGGTGTGTGGTGCAAGATAATTGCATGGATATAAAATAAGCCTATATTGTTGTTGTTGTTGTTTTTTCCCCTATTAGTAACTAAACAGCAGCAGCACAAAATCAGCTCCATTTTACAATGCGCTATGCACGGTTTCTCTTATTATATTATGTACATCGCATAAAGTAGTGTGCAAAAGCAAGAGATGCTCTTCTCTGCCTCTCACTGGCCTTTTTTTTTTTTTTTTTTGCTTGTGGTTTATACCCTTATTTGATTTGGATCCCATTACCTCTGACTGATAGCAGCAGAGGATATAACACCACCTGCCAATCCACAGTCATATTGACTGTATCCCACACTATGTGGTGCAAGTTTGATTGTTTTGTTCAAAGAATAAATTGAGAACTTCCTTTTCATGTTACAGAACAGGAGTTAAAGAAAAGAAATGTATTATAAAAATATATAAAATAATATATAAATATATAAATCGCCATTAAAGACATACTTCATATTTAAATTGCACATGACAATGATCTATTTTGTTTGTCCACACTTTTGGTATGGTATTTTTAAAATGTTTCTTATTATTTTTCTTTAAATTTGTTCACGTAATCATGAGTACATCAAATACTATATCCAGCTTTGCCCACAGGATGAATAGACAGAGTTTGCTTTGTAAGATTGTAAAACACTTTTGCACAACCTTGTCACCTATAGACTCAGTCTAACGTGACAAGCCTGACCACGATGCAGGTAAACAACATCTGGAAATCATTGAGGGAAAAACATAGTTCTTTGCAAGTGATCAGCATTGTTGTGTTTTGATGGCTCATTCAGGAACTGTGGTGCTTTTTTTTTTTTTTTAGAAACAAGAGATGAGCTAACACTTCAATAATTAATCAGCAAACTGTGCAGGGAGGACAGGAACAGATGGTGGTGTTTTCAGTTTAATTCCGGTCACAAGAGACTGATTACTTTTAACAGGATCTACAAAAACATTCAAAGTGCATCGATAAAGGTGTATGACTTGTTTTATTAGGTTTGGCCCCAGGGATTACTCCAGTAATGACAGCCTAATCTCTTTCAAAACACAGTTGTGATAAAGAACAAATGTTWACACAGCTGCTTTTGATTCTGTTTGGATTTAAATTTTTTATTTATTATTATTATTTTTCCATTTTTCTGCTTAAGTCCCTGGTGCCATCGCTGAGCCTCACAAACCTCCTGCAGATCAGTTATGTTTGGGATCTTAACCCTGCACAGACTGTTTGGGCTGGAGATTCTTCCCAATTAAGAAAGCATCCAAGGTAATCTGAATTGAAACTGGTGTACCAGAATATGGGCCCAAAGGGAGCCAATATGTCTCTGAGGTGACGAAGGACAAACAAKAATAGTGCTGGTCTGAGAGTTCCCAGGGACTGATGCAAGAAATACTCTACAAATAGCACAAATAACAATGATGCAAGCATGCATTACTGTGCAACAAATTTTAAACCTCTCCAAACGCCAGAGGTGGGTAACGTACCCAAAAGATGTACTTAAGTAAAAGTAGAACTTTTACTCAAGTTAAAAATAAGCTTTCCAAGAAATTACTCAAGTTAAAGTAAAAAAAAGTGTTTTGTAAAAAAGCTACTTGAGTCATAATATCAGATTTTTTTATTATGTCAACAGACTGAAAAAAAGAAAGGTATGTTAAAGATTGGGTAGGCTATTTTTAAAGAATAAGACGTAAAAATAGCAATACTTCATAATAATATAAAGTAAAAAGTATGGTGTTGTAAAACTAACCCTAAAAGTACATTTTTTTCCAAATAGTAACAGAGTAAATATTAGCCTACTATCCATGTCCTTGGCCTAATAATGTATTAATTTATGTGTTGGTTCCAAGGAGCCACAAACTTTCTCYTAATTCTTTAAGTGGTCTTAGTCAGTCAATCTCCAGAGGTCTTTTAGGTTTATTTGTTTGTTTTCCACTTTGCATTTTTCACTCAAATCTTGCTCAGTTTTTGGACTCAACCTGGATCGTGTTGAGGCTAACAACAAAACAATTTCTAGAATATGAAAATTATCTGTAAGTAAATTACATTTTTTTTGCTTTGTTTCTTTTTAGTTTTAAGCTCTTTGTTGGTCTGAAAATGTTTTAATTTTGACAAGCTGTTTTATCTTTGGTGTTCTTAAAAAACATGGRCCTTTTTGGTAGGCTGCAGCTAGTAACAAAGTTACAATTTAAATTAGGTTCTGTCTGTTATMTGTCTGCACAAAACTTCACTGGCTGGATTCACGGGTTAAAGCTGGGCAGTGTAAATAACAAATAAAAGTATTCCTCTGAAAATGGTTCTGTATTAAAAAGCTCACCTACAACAATTACTAATTTCCTTCATTTAAATTTACTGGTTTATTTTTCTCTTATTACCTGAGAACTACCATAAGATTACAGTGTGGCTGAAGCGAGCCACAAAATGAAAATATAGCCAAATGTTAGAAAAAGATAAACACATGCTGCGCTTGTCCGTTTATGGTAAAGCCGAGGAGGAGTGGGGCGGGGTGGTGTGTGACGTCATCAACATGCTGCGTAGTGCGCACACCCGGAAGCYTCGAAAGATGATGGAAGTTTACACTCTCCTTCTAACAACAAAGTGATATAAAAATCAAAATACACGACGCTACGTCCCACCGTATTGMGTCTGAAGATGAGTGAGAGTGAAAAGCGAAAGGTAAGGAAGCAGCAGAAAGATGCTGGGCTGATTTTATTTTGAAACTTTTTTAATGGAAGCGTGTCATTAATACCTGAGAYCTGTACATAAATTAAAACGTGTAGCTTTTTTTATGTTTACGTGATTGAAGTATTATGTGTAGACATTTAGATCCACGTTTCCTGCACTGTGTATGCTACTAAAAACGGGATGCACAAATTCCCTGGTACTCACTTTTTTCTCTTTAATTCAGGACCCTGCAGACCTGAAGGAGGAGGGAAACGCCCTCTTTAAAGCAGGAGACATGCAGGGAGCTGTCTGCTGTTACACCAAAGCACTAAAGCTGACTGATAASCAGGCTGACAGTGCTGTTCTGTACCGTAACCGCTCCGCTTGCTACCTGAAGCTGGAGGAGTACAGCAAGGCAGAAGCTGATGCCACCAAAGGTTAGACAGTTCTCTCTGATTATATATTTCAGACCAGATAATATATTTAATATATTCCCCTATATCATCACAACTGGTAGATTACTGTTAGTTATAAGCCATTATTCTGGACATTACTGAATCTTGATTTGTTAAGGAATCGATGTGCTGTTGTAWATGTTACTACTGTTTCCCTTTGTCAGCACTTGATACGGACCCAGGAGATGTGAAAGCCAGGTTTCGACGGGCTCAGGCTTTCCAGAAGCTTGGTCAGTTTGAACAGGCTTTTCTAGACGCTCAGAGATGTGCCCAACTGGAGSCCAAAAATAAAGCTTTCCAGGATTTGCTTAGACAGCTAGGAGCCCAGATCCAGCAAAAGGTGATGTGAGCCCGATGAGCTTTATTTTGTACTTTTTTCTTTATGAATCTGCTGCTGATTTTAGTCTTTATTTTACCCCTTTAGTCAGCACAGCTAAACTCCACAGATGCTCGCGTGCAGCAAATGTTCTCCCTCCTCTTAGATGCTTCCGCTAAGGACTCCGATCGACAGAAGGTACAGGTGGTTTAGACGCCCTAACAATTGTCGTTCACTCTTTATGTATTTGATTTTGTTGTGTGCACGTAAAACTGAGTTTCACTGGAATATTGCAATACTTGAAACATCTTCAGGCCGCTCAGAATCTGGTGGTATTGTCTCGAGATGAGGCGGGAGCTGAGCAGATTTTCCGAAACGACGGAGTAAAGCTGATTCAGAAACTTCTTCAGTCGAAGCAGGAGGATGTTGTCCTTTCTGCCCTCAGGACTTTGGTTGGGTTGTGCACAGGACATCAGTCAAGAGTAAGTGCTCATTTTGTCACCTTTCAAGTAATTTCTTCACCGACACACAAAAATATATTTTTCCACTTTAAAACCTAGATAAAAGCAAGCAGTGTTTAATAATAGTTGTAAATAAGCCTCTAACAGGAAGTGTCTTGCATTTATTTTTTCTTAAATCAGTTTTATATTATGTCAACAAGTACTGCACATAGTTATAATTCATGTTTACTTCACATAGTCAGATATTTGTAAAGATTACAAAAAAAATCACAAAACTTTTAAAAGAATGGTGTTTGCAGAGGTTTTTTATGCTGACATCTCATATTTCTTCAAGACTATGGCTATAGTGAACGAGCTGGGAATGGAGCAGCTGTGCGCAGTAATGGGGTCAGGAGTTTCCACTGTGTCTCTGGCTGCCTGCCACCTGCTGCAGGTGATGTTTGAAGCTCTGACAGAGGGCATGAACAGAGAGATCAGGGGGAAGGATGAGGCCATACTCCCTGGTGAGTCGGAACACCGTTTGTCTTTATACTTAGAGTTGAAAACACCCCCAGGAGGTATAACACGTGCTTATTGAGTGTGTCTGCTATAACCCTGCTCTTAAATGTACTCAGAGCCATCTAAGGAACTACGGTCGATGTTGCGCCACCTTTTGGAGATGATGCCAGCGRCTAGTGTGTCGGGGCCGGGCCGAGACAGCGCCATCAACCTCCTGGTCAAGCAAGTCCCCCGCAAGTCTTTGAAAAATCCAGACAACTCCCTTACATTGTGGGTGATAGACCAGGGTATGAATCACACCTGCTCGCCTCYTTTTAATGCTTTTGATGATGCAAAAGACAAACATCTTCCAAATAGATGTGTTTCATTCCCTTGATAAAGTGCTYAGCCGGTTTCTGYAAARCAGCAAATGATTTTAGCTGGAATTTTTGTAACCACATAAATAGCACATTTTTTTRCTCCTACAGGGCTTAAGAAAATTCTACAAGTGGCTGGGACCATTCCTGAGCTCTCAGAGGGTCCGCCTCTTACAGACAACACTCACATGACCTGCTCCGTGCTGCTCAGCAAACTGTATGATGACCTAAATAGTGACAAAGAGAGAGAGAACTTTAGCAAACTATCTGAAGAATATGTTCAGTGAGTTGACTCTTATCAGTTTTTGCTTTTTTGTTTGAGAAGAAAAGCTTCAAAACCAAAATGRGTTCTCTAATCTGCGTCTTGGATAGGCAACACTTTAGCCGACCTGGCCTAGACGGCAAGCTGCGCGCCATCCAGACGGTGTCGGTGCTCCTTCAAGGTCCGAGCGACGTGGGCAACCGAGCTCTGGAAATGTCAGGAATGATGGCCGCCGTGATCTCCCTCTGCGCCTCCGAAGACGCGAGTCACCAGCAGATAGCTGTGGAGGCCCTCATCCACGCCGCGGGCAAAGCCAAGAGAGCCTCCTTCATCACGACAAACGGCGTGGCCCTCCTCAAGGACCTCTATAAGAAGAGCGAGAACGAACAGATCCGCGTGAGAGCCCTCGTGGTAAGTGCCGCGGGCGGAAACGTCTCGGATTAAATGGTAAATGGTACTGAACTTATAGAGCGCTTTTCAAGTCCCTCTGGACCCCAAAGCGCTTTACACTAACAGACATTCACCCATGCACACTCATATTCACACACTGATGATGGCAAACTACACTGTAGCCACAGCTGCCCTGGGGCGCACTGATAGAGGCGGGGACATGAAGGCAAAACTCACGGTTTTTGTGTGTGGTTGTCGCGCAGGGCCTGTGCAAGCTCGGGTCAGCGGGAGGGACAGATTTCAGCATGAAGCAATTTGCCGAGGGATCGACTCTCAAGCTCGCCAAGCAGTGCAGGAAGTATGTTTCTGTTCGCTTAATACCAGCAAGAAATMAAAACAGTTGTGTTCCTTCTGATCCTAACTGTTGCTCTTCTTGACCAAACCCAACCATTAAAGAGTGACTTTTTCCAGGGTTGAAAATAAGAATTAAGTTTTATTTCTTATCTGGTAGGTGGCTGTGTAACGAGTCCCTGCCTGCAACCTCCCGTCGCTGGTCAGTGGAAGGTCTTGCCTACCTCACTTTTGATGCTGATGTGAAGGAAGACTTGGTGGAAGACAGAAATGCTCTGCTGGCCATGTTTGAACTAGCAAAGGTTTGGCTTTTTACTTTTTTTTGTAGAGTTTGTTTATATGTTTCAAGCATAAATAGGAAAAAAAATAATTGCGATGCTAGATTCTGTCAGATGTTTTGTATTTGTCCTTTTAGCCTCCATCAACCATTCCAGTTTCATTTACACAGTTTTTTCTGCTTCTTTATTTTTATGTGTATTCGTGCAGTCTGAAGATAAGACTGTGCTTTTTGCTGTGGGCTCTACGTTAGTGAATTGCACCAACAGCTATGARGTGGAGAAGCCAGACCCTCAGATGGTGGAGCTGGCCAAGTACGCAAAGCAGCATGTTCCTGAGGAGCATCCTAAGGTGCTGCTTAAGCCCTCCTTTTTTTTCCATAAACATGCTCGTTTGTTATATTAAGTCAATTTCTTTTTATTGCTCTACATACCTTACATTGTGTTTTGTTTAACTGGTATTTTTTTCTTTGTTTCTTATCTTTTTGTGTCAGGATGCACCTTCYTTTGTGGAAAAAAGGGTAGTTAAGCTGCTGGAAGCTGGTGTGGTGTCTGCACTTGTGTGCATGGTTAAACAGGAGAGTCCTGCCCTCACCGAGGCTTGTAAGGAATGTATTGCCAGGTAAAA